TGAACTACAGGAATATTGGCATTGCATAGAAACATGATTAAGGGATCTTCCTTTAAAAGCAGGAAGACACAGATGCTTATTTTATACAGAGCTGGAGATGTTACAGCTGTGTTGCATAAATGTTACTCTTCTGTCTAAAGACTCCAAGCAGCTTCTGGTGACTTGATGTCTATGTGGATAACAGATCGTCAGAAGAGCAAAATTCTATTTTTAAGCATCAGTATCTCTTAAAGCTGCATAATCTGTGACAAAATAGATTGTTGTTGTGTGGAGTTCAAATGGGCATTACTATTTTCAGGTCTGACAGAAAGGCATACAGTTACAGTTTTTCACCAATTATTGAAGCCTAGTTTGAGACATCAGTTTCCCTACTTAAAACTGGACCGAAATCAATTCAAGTTTTCTTTAAAAGGGTAACAAAGCAAAAAAAAAAAAAGTGGATTTCCATTCACTTTAAAGCTTTTTTGATCTAGCCCAACATGTTAGAATTTTCTTTTTAGAAACAGAGCTGCCTTCTCTTGACATTTAAAAACCCACTCTTGGTTACCTACTGCGTGTATGTGAAGTCCTGGAGTCAGACAGCTCTTGGGACTCAGCCACTGCAGACGAGGCGTCATGCTGTGGGCCTGCCAGCCCATTGAGCATAAGCCCTGGTAGTAAACTTGATAGGCATTTCTTGGAGAGAATGAGTGTGAAACTGTACTGTAGTTTGGGTTTTTTATGTTCCTCGCTGAAAGGAAGGAGAAAATCACCTTTTTTGTCCATTGAAAACGATGTCGTTGGTGTTGGAGCTTCCCGGATATTTTAAAACTAAACTAAACCTCCTATACTGTATTTTAGAAATGCACTTTAAGTACCTTTTTGAAGAAGATTCCTATATTCTGGGATGCAGAAGGGAAGGGAATATTATTTCCAGAACACTGAGAAAGGGTTGGGTTTTTTTTTTTTGGTCAGTGTCTAATAGTCCTTATTACTGATTAACAAGGTATTTCAAAGCAAAGACTTCACTTTTTGCTGCTTGTTATCTAATTTACAGGGATTTCATTTTATGTAATGTATTGTATATTTATACATCTGTAATTAATTGCACATTAGATAAGAAAGAGGATTAGCTTTGGAATAACACCCATTGGTACTACACAATCAACTAATACTGCCTATGCATATGTGTCTTTCTGGTACTCTTGCACAGCCTTAGTTTGTGTTAGTTTGTACTGTGGTGGGTGTTTTTGTGGAAGATGCAGCTGTTAACCTGCTGCTCAAAGGAAGGATACTAATGCTGCTCTGGAACGGTTTGCTGAATGTACTTTAAAATGGGTCTCTAACGTGTGCGCGTTGCATCTCTCCATTGTGGTTAATAACCCCAATATGTGGTCTGAACTGTACTGTATGTAGCAGGAATGTATTAATTTTGTGCTTCCTTGTTTAAAAACATCAGCTGTTCAAGAACAGGATTGACTTTTTTTTGTTCAGAAGGCCATTTATGCGTTCTAAGTATTTGAAATCAAAACTAGTCCAACACTAACCAGATGGCTGTGTCCAATGTTACTTGGAACAGTTTTTAAATTAACAGGATCAGCTGTGTATTCAGAAAACTGAGGGTATGGAGGTCATAAGTCTTCAATTCTTAATGTTGCCTAGTTAATGGCCTGATCCAGAGCAGTACTGAACTACCTCTTGCTTGCCTTGAAACCGGGGACTAGAAGCAGAGGGAGTCTTGAATGATCAGCACTTCCCAGGATCAGTTCTTAATCTTCCACTCTGCTTGTTCATACTTCATGTGCAGTTGATTAAGGTTCTTGAATTTGGACACTAGACATGCCGTTGCACTGAAATATATACTTTTTTAAAAATTGCGGTCCCCATTTCCCTGTTTAATCTCTCTGTACACAAGGTATACAAGGTATATGCTGTATAAGTGGCCTTCTTGAACAAATCTCTCTGCAAACTGATTTCATCCCAGCGAAGGAGTGTATCAGCAACACTGTACATTAATTTCAGGTTTTCATTTTCTTATTTTATTTTGTAAATATATCTGATATTTGGAGCTTGAGTATACAAAATGTAAATATAGTTCATGTATTTGTACTAATTCTGATCCATTTGCTGTATAGCCTTAGGTGTGCAATGCAGATATTTAACTGTGTATGGTAACCTTGCACCACTGAATTGTTAGTGAACGAGGTGAAACAATAAAGGTACAACCAGTGCATTAGCAGATATAATGTGTGCTCCTTTTCTTATGATTTAATTACTAGTATCTTATATTGAAACCTGTCCTGAACAAGCTTACACTTTTGTGAAAAGAAATTTGTCTTGGCTGTTCTTGAGAAAGACGAAAGGCCCTTCTTACCCTTCCTCATCCTTTTCCCTTTGATATGTTATGCAGCATTTCTAAGTCATTTTTGGGTGCTTTAAAAAGATTATTCTGCTTGAAAGGTAAAATAAGGTGGTCATAGTGCTGCCAATACTGAACTTGCACATCTGGGGGTGACCGTTAAAAATGACAGGGAGCGTGTGAAATCAAACCACCGAAACATAACAGCAAAGTATACGGCACCAGCTCTGTGGACAAAGATGTGTCAGGGAATCCCTGTAAATCGTTCTCGTCTTGGTCTGAAAGTGGAAAGTTCTTTGCAGCTTTTAAAAGTCATGGTGAGGAAACTGGACAGGGCATTCCCAAAGTGTTTAAGTCCCACAAAAATGGGCCACCACTTGCTGTCAGGCACCTCTCATAACTGTAAAACAGCTGCATGATGGCAAAATACTTTTACCAGGCTGCTGGCTAGATCCGTTCTTTATCTGAAAAGCTATCATGGATGCCTTCCTTGCTTCTTGCCGCTGTTGCTGAGTCCTTTTTTTTTTTTTTTTTTTTTCTTCAATTAGGCACTTGAGTAACCTGTTAACTTTCTCTGGTTGCCCTTCTGACAGCTTACTTAACACTTCAGAGAAGCCGCTAGCCATTTTACTGCTTTCAGATTCATTCCACTCTCAATGCTCAAAAATAAGGTGGACCGAAAACTTGCTGGGTCAGTTTGCTGCCAGTCTTCATGTTTAGAAATGTGCCTTTAATAGAAAGTAAACATGCTTAAAATGTAGGTTTATCTTGATGATGCATCTGACTGTCACGGAGCAAAGGTATGAAACTAGCTGCCTGCTCTTAAACCTAATTGCCCATCCCTCAGCATTAAGATTACAGGTTTCCTAAGTTTCCTTTTGCCCAAATTCCAGGACGCCTCAAAGACAAACTGACAGCTGTGCTATGTGAGGTGTTGACTGCAGCCTAGGAAGATGTTTTAACAGCTGAATTTAAGGCAATGAATTCTGTATAATTAAAGGAGAGAAAAGGCAAAATAGGCGGTTCCCGGCCTGTCCCGGGGTACGTATTGCTGTTGGAGTAAGCGTAGCTGTAGCCCGTGTACGTGCGGGGGCAGCTGGTAACAGCCTGACCTTCGGCTGGAGGATGAGTCGGTCCCGCAGCGGGGCGGGTGCGGCCCGGCGCGGTGCTGGCCTTCCCTCGGGGACACCTCGGGCCTGACAGGCGGCGTCGGAGCCTTCACGCCCGAAGGACAAGCACGGGGACC